CTGCGCTTACCGGGGGTGCCCAAAGGACTCTGCCGAAATGTCGTGGGCACCAGCCCAGCGGTTCGCACTGAACTTGCAACGGCAGAAGCGCTGTACGACGGCTTTGGCGGAGGCGGGATATCAGCCCAGCTTGCGCAAGTGAAGCTTCCGGCGCTCGTGCTGGCTTTTGATGATCGGGTGCTTATACACGACAAACCCACAATCACATTCCCACTACTTTGCGCGGGCTTGAGAAGCAGCGACCGGCGCAGAGACAGGAGAGCACCGCTTCGCGGGGACACGCAGGCAGTTCTAAACACGCTGAGGAGGGCCTGAGTTGCTGGGCGAAGTCTCGGTCACATTCGCCTCAGACGTCTGAACTTGGATTTCCTGCTTGCTGCACTTGCTAGCGTCCCCGAAGTCGCTAGAGCAGCTTCTGTTGCTACCGGTGCTCTCCGTCGCAACAGGGGGGGAAAGTCAAGCGCAGCCGACTGAACCGTGTGTGAAGACTCGGGGTAGCCCTGCTACGAGTCGTGCGCAAGCTGTGCGAGGACGGGGTCTTGACCGAGCGGGCCGTCTTCGTTCCCTTACTGCAACGGTCAGGTCAATGGTCTCGTGCGGTTTCTGAATCTTCAAGAGCCACGGGCGAAGCAAGCTGACAACTCTGCCAGCAGTGGTGCTAGGAGCAAGGAAAGTGAAGTGCCGGTTACGCAAGATAGGAACCACAGGTGAGCCACCTTTTGGCCGTGATCTTGCCATCCTTGAACTTGCCAGCAAGGGTGTAGCATTCCCAGATGCCCCATTTTAGCTTCCACACGATAGCCGGGAGGCCAGTCACCCCAACCATAGCTTGTACGGTGAGGCCACACGCCCAAGCGGCGGGCAGGGACTGGTTGTGCATCCACTTGTCTTGTCAAGGGTGTCCGCGGGCGGCTGGTTCGACCTCATTTCGGGTGTTTCATTGGGGTCCAACGCATAATGCGGCCTGAACTTGTCCTGATGCCTTTTGACATGCAGCACAACCTGAGTGCGAGCGTCCGCAGCGAGACGAGTCAATTCATCGTCCTTGAGTTGGTTGCTCGGATTCTCCATGGAGTGCACAGCGGCACAAAATGCCCTGTAAAAGCAATCACCATTGCCTCCTTTGTCATGCCCAATCCGGCTAGCTTAGCTTCGTCTGGATTGCTTGGGACAGAATCGTGATTAGCTTTGGATGCAGTCGGCGGGTTGGGCTTAGTCGATGACGGCTCGGCCTCCGACTGCATGTCGACATCGAACTGTGTAACATTGACTGATGCACTGTTGTTGCCCACCTCAGTGCGCGCTCGCTCTCGTGATCGAGCGCGCTCACGCTCCTCTGACGTGGACTCTTGCTTTCTAGCTGTGCGCCCTTCCCTTTCCTGAGTGGGCATGGCATCCACGGCCTGTTTCTGGAAATGCTATCCCTTCTTGGGCGCCCATGCAGGCTCCGACTGAAGACTGTGCCTTCGCGGCGGGGCAGGAGCTATGCAGATGCTGGTGGATGTCTGCGCATCTTCGTACACCCAAAAACAGGCCTCACTCATCGACGAGGGCTCTGCGCTGACAATCACTGAGGTTAGGGTTTAGGGCTTATAGGGTTTAGGGGTTAGGGTTTAGGGATTTAGGGTTTAGGGTTTAGGGCCTAGTTTGTACCGGCAACGAGACGACCGGTTACCACGAAGCCAAAATCAACCCTCCTGCATGCCCGAATATAGCAGTCTCTGTAGTGGAAGTAGCAGCTGGCAGGAGTAGTAGCAGCAGTAATAGCAGTAATAGCGGTACTTGTAGTAGTAGTAGTAGTAGTAGTAGTAGTCGTAGTAGCAGTAGTAGTAGTAGTAGTAGCAGTAGTAGTAGTAGTAGTAGTAGTCGTCGTCGTCGTCGTCGTCGTCGCAATAGTAGTAGTAGTAGTAGTACCCATGCGCGCATCCTGGCGCCTGGTAGTTTCCTCTGTTTTCCAGCGTTTCGGGTGTGTTTCGGGCTAATAGCGACATGGTGGACCGCACCGGTCTTTTCCTGCAGCCGCGGCAGTAGCAGTACCAGTAGCAGTCCTGCTAGCAGTCCTACTAGCAGTAGCAGCAGCAGAAGCCGTAGCAGTACTAGTAGCAGTCCTAGCAGTAGCAGAAGCCGTAGCAGTACTAGTAGCAGTCCTAGCAGCAGTAGGAGCATCAGAAGCCGTAACAGCACGACTACCAGTCCTACTAGCAGTAGCAGTAGCAGAAGCCGTAGTAGCACGAGTACCAGTCCTACTAGCGGTAGCAGTAGCACTAGTACCGGTCCTACTAGCAGTGCTCATGGAGTAAGGATTTCGAGTTCACGATCTAAGGGTTCCTTCTCGCCCTGATTCCGGTTCATTCCAGGAGCTCCCACAGCCCCGAAGCTCAAACCTTAAATCCAGCCCTGAAACGCACACTTCAAGGTTAGGGTTTAGGGCCTGAAACACAAACACAAACCTCCGCATCTTCCGTATCATCATAGTCATCATCTTCGTCATACTGAACAACATGCACATCTCTGTCATCTTCACCATCTTCATCATCATCGTTTTCCGCACCCTAAATAACATGCACATCATTATCATACTAAGCATGTTCATCGTCATCATCGCCATCATCACGACCTCCACCACCGTCAATAACATGCACATCGTTGTCTTTCTCAGCATCATCATCATCATCATCACTATCATCATCATCCAAAAGTGTAATTATTAGTAAACCACAGTAGTTTTTTGGAAGTTAACTTAACTGCATTTTCCAGAAACTCTGTAAAACCCTGTATTTTTGACCCTCTAACCCCTTGAAACTACCAGGCGCCAGGAGGCGCGCAAGCCTACTAGTAGTAGTAGTAGTAGTAGTAGTAGTAGTAGTAGTCAGTAGTAGTCAGTGGTAGTTAGTAGTAGTTAGTAGTAGAAGTAGAAGTAGAAGTAGAAGTAGAAGTAGAAGTAGAAGTAGAAGTAGAAATAGCAGTAGCAGTAGCAGTAGCAGTAATAGTGGTGGTGGTGGTGGTAGTAGTAGTAGTAGTAGTAGTTAGTACTAGTTAGTAGTAGTTAGTAGTAGTTAGTAGTAGTTATTAGTAGTTAGTAGTCGTTAGTAGCAGTTAGTAGTAGTTCGTCGTACTTAGTCGCACTTAGTCGTAGTTATTAGTAGTTATTACCAGTTAGTAGTAGTTAGTAGTAGTTAATAGTAGTAGCTAGTAGTAGTAGTAGTAGTAGTAGTAGTAGTAGTAGTAATAGTAGTAGTAGTAGTAGTAGTAGTAGGTCGTAGTTAGTAGTAGTCAGTAGTAGTTAGTAGTAGTTAGTGGTAGCTAATAGTAGTAGTTAATAGTAGTAGTTAATAGTAGTAGTTAACAGTAGTAGTAGTAGTAGTAGTAGTAGTTGTAGTAGTAGTGGTAGTGGTGGTAGTACGAGTAGTAGTAGTAGTAGTAGTAGTAGTAGTAGTAGTGGTAGTAGTAGTAGTAGTAGTGAAGTGGTAGTGGTAGTGTTAGTGGTAGTGGTGCGGTGGGGTAGCGGTAGTGGTAGTGATAGTGGCACAGTAGTGGTAGTAGTAGTAATAGTAGCAGTAGAAGTAGTAGTAGTAGCTGTAGTAGGAGCTAGTAGTAGTAGTAGTAGTAGTAGTAGTAGTAGTAGTGGTAGTAGTAACAGTGGTGGTAGTAGGAACCGTAGTGGTAGTAGTAGTCGTCGTCGTCGTAGTAGTAGTAGTCGTCGTCGTCGGTAGTAGTCGTAGTAGTAGTCCTAGTAGTAGTCGTAGTAGTATTCGTCGTAGTAGTCGTCGCAATAGTAAGAGTAGTAGTAGCAGCAGTAGTAGCAGCAGTAGTGCTTAGCATTTCGTACTGTTCTTCTTGTAGATAACCAAAGACTGTGTTTTAAAACTCGGGTCTTGTTGTCGCACAGCTTCGTGGGAATAAAACTTGAACCTACAGACCGTATACCGGAGGCCATAGATTGATATTTATGGGAAGGCCTTCAGCTCCTGGGGAGGTGCCCAGGCCCAAAGATGACCAAAAACAATGGAAAGAGATGCACTTTAAAACAACAAGAACAAAAGCGAAATGTAAAACAGCAAAAATGGGATCGAAGAGTTGAAAGTCGGAGCAATGTAGCCTAGCGGCCATCAGCAAACCTACCGTCGCGAAACGAATGTAATCGGACCCACATCATCACCAGCGACATCATCGTGATGTGGCCAATCCTGCTGCATCTTGAAGCCGGCACGCATTTACCATTATCAAAAGTATGGCACAATCACGTCATCCTTTACCGTGTACATCTTGTTGCATATTGCATGATGATTACAGCGCTGCATTTCGGAGTAGCAATAGTAGCATGACCGGAAGGACAGCCAACGTTCATTTTAAGGTTGCATGTGATTTTTTGAGGGGGGGCTTTTCGGGTTTTGCCTTCAAGGGCGCAGCGTCGGTCTTTCCGGGCGTCACGCTTAAGGGATGAGGGTGTAGGTCACCGCGCTGAAGGTTTAGTGTCTTTCTGACCGTTTCAAGCTTCAAACCTCTTCAGATTCAGCCGCTGGGAGGCAGGGAAGCATGTTCTCAACCCTTAACCTTAACACTAAACCGCTGCTGAGGGCTGGGCCATTGCTGCAGGGCACTGCACGGGAATGGCGGGGGACGCGACAGATGGTGCTGAGCCACAGCGAAGCTAGCAGCGCGATCCCATGCGAAAAAGGTCGCACTTTACTTCGTTGACTCCTAGGTTTAGAAACGCAAGGCACTCACAGCAGCAACAACAACAGCATTGATTGGCCTGGCAATGTGAGGAGCTTCCCGGGACGAGGGAATGCCTGTTTATGTATATCCCACATACTAAGGTCCGCATTAGGAGACCCCTGGATCCTCAACCCTAAACCCGAGAAACGCACACGGACCTGTTTCTTTGTGACGTGCTCCAAGTTCCAAGCTCGAGCTCGGATCTTTAAGTGCCCCGGCCGCGTGTTGATCGAAAGCCGAAACGATTAGTAAACCCTTCAGAAGCCTAGGCCGGTAGCATCTCAGCAGCATTGGAAGGTCCAGGACAACGGAGGCTCGGCAGTCGAGGAGTTCAGGGCGAACAGTGACCCGATCATGCTGCATCCAAATCCTGAAGAACTGTCTTGAGAAAGGGGTCTGTTAATGCCGGGCCGGTTCGAATTTTAGGGCTTGGAACTAAGGCCAACGTTTAAAATCCAGGGCGGAGCATTTAAAGTTGTTTTTCTAAGGCCCCCGTGCGTCTGTCACTGTTCGAAGTCTGTGTTTCGGTCTTTGGGCTTCTTTCTGCTGAATGATTAAATCTCCCATGGCTTCAGGCTTCCACGCTAAACCGGCGCAGAGCATCCGTTCGCGCCCTCGCCGGTGTAGTCAATGTGCCCGTCGCATAGGACTTTGTCCGCTAAGGTGTGATCCCCTGAGGCTGAGAGGGTAGGTTTGGTCCTACATAGTCTAATGCAAAACAGTATCATCTGAATCCGCATGACTGATGCAGAGTCGTTGATGCATGTCGTCGGACTCAAAAGAAGCTGGAAAGCATGCCCGTCGAAACCAAGCCTTCTCACGGCCGCTCCGAAATTGCCCCGAACCCAAACCCTGCGAGGCTGACGTCTGCGTTGTCAGGAATTTAGACTCCATGGGCGTTTACGCCCAAACCCGGCACGCCTATCGTTCTTTACGTACGGACTTAGTACGAAGAATCTCCAGACCAGTGGCCCATAAAGTGAAGGATCTGAAGCCGCGCATCCTCCATGCCAAGCTGTACCATGGATGGATCGCTCACCTTGGGCAGTTTTGCACGCACGTGCGAGCTCATAACAGGCACAGGGGGGTTGAAATTGTGCCCAAAATGTGCCCTGGTGGATGTGGGGTGTTTGAGTATCGTCCGGCTCGTGTAAAGCCCTTGAGCTGAAGTTGCCTAACAAAACCGAAGACCCCAAACCCCAGCTTAACCTAAAAAGGGACCCCGGGCCCGCAGAAAAAATGCGATGCACGGAGGTAGTTGCAGCGGTGCCACTTGTGACTACTGCTACGGCTGCTACCAATTTGCCAATATTTACGGATATCTGGCATACGATTTTATATAGGAGCTACTAAGGGGCTCCTCCTCCTATCATCTCCTGATAGGTGTCATTGCTACTGGTTGCTAATATAAGGGTCTTTATAATCAGAATAGGGTGTTGGGGCCCATTATCTTTTATTTGTAATAAGAAACCCCCAAATTAATATTGGCAATTATTTTAGGCCCCTATACTAGCTACCTTGACTTGGTGCTTTTCACGACAGTCTGTGTTGGGACTGATTTGCGGATTCTCGTTGCTGTCTCCATTCTCATGGTCAAGTTCTTAGGAGTTAGGATTAAGGGGACCCTCGGGGATATAGACCCTCTCAATAAGGTCCCTTCTAAAAGAGCCATAAGTAGGGTTAAGAAGGGTCCTAATACTACCTAGGAGTTCTAGATGGGTAGGCAGCCCTTGATGAGGGCTCGCCCAGTCAAGGGACGGGCTCTCCGCAGCTTCTCACCGTGCAGCCGCCGCGATTGAAGGAGATGCCGCTCCTCGGGCATAACCGACGGAGTCATTGGGTTTAGGGTTTAGGGTTTAGGGCTTCCGAGTTGGTTGAACACAACATCTGTTGTCAAGCAGTGTCTCGGCCCAATCCGGCTTGAAAAAGGAAAGAAGCGATCCCAGCAAAGCTGCGATGGGCACGAGCCCGCACGGCGACGCGGGAGATTGCAAGAGTGTTGGGTTGAACGGTGGCAACCATGATGATGATATGATAATGATAACGATAATGATAATGATAATGATAACAGTAGTAGTAATAGTAATATTGGTAGTACTAATAATGATAAAATTGATGATGGTTATGATGACAATAGCAACAATAACAACAATAAAAATAACAGTAATAACAAGACTAGTATCACTAGGCACACAATAAAAAAAATGATCACCAACAACAAGCGAGAAACGCTGACAACAACAATAACAACTTCTGTCCTTTCAGGGATCTATACGGGTTGCTCCCTAAACCCTAAACCCTAAACCCTAAACCCTAAACCCTGCTATCTGTGCGGCCGAATATCGCCAGCATGGTTCGCTTCTTCAGCGGCTCCAGGCCAATGACCTCGGGCCCGGCCATGGTCGCGGGTCTGCGGGGATACATGGAGATATGTGCAGATGTGTATATATATATATATACATATGCATGCATGTATACATGTGTGCATGTGCATGTATACATACATACATACA